AGTCGTATGAGCCCCTAATAAAATGATTTTTAAAAATAAAACAACACTGAAAAGAAAAAAAAGCCTGGTAAACCTCAGAGTACTTTTTTTATCAGGTGGATATGTATCCTCATGTTTATAATACCTACAGATTATATGTTTACCTGTTGATTCTTTTTGGACTAATTTAGCAAATCAAACCATGTAAGTGGATTTGTTAAAGTAGTGATGGGATAAATGAATATAGCCACTGAAACCGTTTTGATCATAATTTTGATTTGTAGTGTTAATTGAACAGTTATTTAAGTCTCTGACTTCAATGGTAATTCTTTTCCCCTTATTTCTTTGAGCTGTGGTAGCAAACAGTGACGAATCGCAACTTCTGACACCAGCAAAGATGAGTCAACGCCAAGGGAAAGAACCGTATCCAATCCCAACCAAAGATTTGCACCAGCCATCGCTTAGTCCAGCAAGTCCTCATAGCCAGGGTAAGAAGTTGTGGTTTTTAATGCATTTTGGAGGAGGTGGTGGAAGAATAATTACTTTGGATCTACTAATTATTAAAAGGTAGTGGTATATTGTACCTTTAACTTGCATTTCTTTGATTACTAATGATATTGAACATCTTTTCATATGGTTATGGGACATTCTTACATCTTCTGAAAGTGTCAGCACAGTTTTTTGGGGGTTTTGTGTCTGTGTATTTCAAAAATAGGGTTGTCTTATTATTAATAATATTATGGAAGATGTTTTAATATCATCCTTTGCTAATTGGTTTCTTTTCAAAGAGCAGTGGTTTTTTTTTTGAGCAGTTTTTATCTTTAATGAAACCTAGCTTTTTCCCTTACGATTCAAGCTGATTAAATAATATTTTGTCTACTCGAAGGTTAAATAGAGTATTTTCTGTGAGTTCTTCTAAAACTTTTACAGGGTCAATATTTTGATTGCTCTCTACATTTTATGTTTTGCTGTTGGCCTTTATCTTATGGCTTCAACATCTCACACTTACAGTATATAACACCACAACCTTCAAGTTGCTAGTAGGACACTGACCTACAAAGATCTTTTGCATGTGAAGGTCAAATCATGGTGGAATTAGTGTTCTTATCCATGTACATGACCAGGGATCTAATGAAGTATGGTCTCTGAGTGAGAGGGAAATTGAGAACTCTAAATAAAAAGAGTCCTTTTTGTTGTTCAAGTTTTATAATTGAGAAATCATGTAGAGAAACCATCTATATTTATGACACATTCATGCTCAAAAAAAGCAATAGCTTACTCTTGCCTAGAGCCATGGCTCCTAAGCCTGGCTGTGCCTCAGAATCACCTGGGAGCTTTGCTTAGATACAGATTTTACTCCAGTCTTCAGAGTCTCTAGGGTGAGGTTCAGTAACCTGTGTTTTTATCAAGCTCTCAAAGTGTATCTGATGTAACAGCACTTGAACCAGTAAGTAGAAATCAACATCTGAGAACATCCAATCCATAATCTGGCAGTCAGGTTTCTGTGATGGTAGTCTACCCTTCTAATTTTATCTTGTGTTGCCCATCGTGATAAATCCACCTAGATGTTTTTCTGGAACTCCAGGGAGGCTACCTTTTACTTATCTTGATCTTCTTTCTCTCCTTCCTTTGCTCATCCTCAAAAATGTAGTTAAATCCCTTCTCATTTATAAGACCTTTTCAGGTGACACTTTTCTCCCAATTTTTATGTCAGTGCTTCTGTGACCTCATAATAGGCTGTTTTGTAATATTAGTAAAATATCTATGAGAGGACTTCAAAAAGTGTGTGGGAGTGTCTCACTGTTTTTTATTCCATTTGTCCATGAATTATTTGAATCTCCCTCATATATATGATCTTTCCAACAGCAACTTCTCCAAAGAGCGCTGCATTCCCTTAATTACATTAGTATGTGGATGAATGCTTATCTTTGATTCAATAATCCCCATTGACATTTCTAAATAGAGTGTTATGAATTAGATAAAAACAAAATAATTATTTAACCCCTAGATGAATGAAATAAACTACTTCTTTGAGTTCAGTACTTTTGAAAGGTTCTAATGTTACTTAGATTTTGAAAAAATAATTATCAAATGCTTAATAAATCATGGCATTATTTGACATAAAAAATACTCATAGCCAGATTTATTTATGTCAAATAAATGCCATGATTTATTAAGCATCTGATAGTTTTTTTTGTTTTTGTTTTGTTTGTACCTGGGACGAAGTCTCTCTATCCTTCCTTCCTTCATTTTTTTAAAAATTATTTTTATTTTTATTTCCATCCTTCCTTCTAAGGAGCATGCTGGCCGGACTTCATCTAAGGTGGCCTGTGGTGTGTTTATGTGGAATGATACAGAAGTGCCATCTATGCCACCCACTGCCATAAAGCCTGCTCTGGCCCATGCAGGGCAGAGTAGATCTGCCCTCTGATAGTTATTCGTAAAGTTGGATGGAAAATATATAATATTTTCCTGAAGAAAAATATATAAAAATATCTTGATGGATAACAAATTTCAGTGAGAATATTTGTTTTTGTTATGTACCATCGTGTTGATTCTGAATCATAGAGACCCTGTGTAGGTCAGAATGAAACTTCCTTCCCTGTACCATCCTCACAATTGTTCTTATGTTTGAGACCATTGTCCTCTCACAGCTCATTGGTATCATTAGTGTTCAGTGGTCGAATCTGTTCTTGAGAACTGTTCTCAAAATTCAGGTGTGATATACTCAATGTGATATTTTGGCTCTTGTGGACTTGTTTTAATTTTCTTCAGTTTCAACCTGAACTAACATATGAGCAATTAGTGGTCTGTTCTAGGTAGTTCCTGGCCTGGTTGTAGCTGGTAATATTGAGCTTCCCCATGGTCTCGTCCCAAAAATGTAGTCAATTTTATTTCTCAGTATTCCATCTGAAGAAGTTCATGTGTACCTTTTGTTGATGAAAGATATTTTCTATGGACAAATTGCTGGTCTTGCAAAATTCAATCATGCAATCTCTAGCATTGTTTCTGTCACCAAGATCATATTTTCCAACAACTGTTTCTTACTCTTCCTTTCTAACTTTTACATTCCAGTTGCCAGTAATTATGTTTATCTTGATTGCATTTTTTGATTCATTTATGACAGAAGATGTTGGTAGAATTCCTAAAGGTTTTTCATCACTGGCCGTGGTGGTTGGTGCATAAATTTGAATAATGGTGGTATTGATTGGATTTCCTTGAATGTGCATAGATATAATCGTCTCACAGACAGCATTGTACTTCAAGATAAATCTCAAATGTCTTTTTTAATGATGAATGCATCTGAATTCATTCTCAGTTAGAATTTGGGAATGGAAATTCAGTTTTGGAGAGCATAGTTTATATCTCAGGAATTGTCAATTGACTGATGTTTTAGAATGAATTTCATTAAACTAGAACCCTGGTGACAGGAAGTTCTGGGCTGCCAACTACATGGTCAGTGGTTCAAATCGACCCACTCATTCATTGGAGAAACATGAAGCTATCTATTCATGTAAAGATTTACAGTGTCAGAAACTCTGTTTAGAATCTCTATAAGCCAGAATCAACTCAATGGCAGTGGGTTTGGTAGGATTGGAATTCCATTAAGTTAGTCAAAGATCTTACCATTTTTTGTTTTAATGTTAATCCTGAGAGACTGAAGGCTATAGTCTTCGGTAAGTGCTTCACATCTTCATCACTTTAAACAAACACAATTGTATTATCTACATATGGCAGGTTGTTAATGAATCTTCTTCCAATACTGACTCTGAGTTCTTTATTATATCATCCAGTTTCTCAGGTTATTTGCCCCATGTACATATTAAATAAATAGTGAAAGCATGCAGCCCTGATCCACACCTTTTTTAGAAATCTTAAACCATTTATGATCCCCTTGTTCGGTTCAATGTCCATTCTTCACAGTGCTTTCCACAAGTTGTTATGATCCATACAGTTGTATCCCTTTGTGTAGTCAATAAAGCACAGGTAAACATCTTTTTGTGTTCAGCCACTATCCATATGACAGAAATAATGATATCCTACTCTATGTCTTCTTCGGAATCCAGTTTGAATTTCTGGCACTTTGTTCTTGCAGTACAGCTGCAACCAATTTGAACTATCTTTAGCAAAAGTTATATATTATATTAATAATATTGTTCTATGATTTTTTAATTCGGTTGCATCAAGTAGCTGTCTTCCAAAGCCTGTTTTGTTTTTGCATCCCAGAGGCAACCAGCGTTTAATGAAAAAAAAAATTTGACTAATCTAGGGCCATCATGCTGTGAACAAACCCCAAGCTAACTATGTAGAGAGGATACATGAAGTAGGTCCTATACTAGACCACAACTACCAAATTTGCATAGTGTGAGCAAATCCCCACAGGATTTTTTAAAATCATTTTATTAGGGGCTCATACAACTCTTATCACAATCCATACATACATCAATTGTGTAAAGCACATTTGTACATCCATTGCCCTCATCATTCTCAAAACATTTCCTCTCCACTTAAGCCCCCGGCATTAGGTCCTCATTTTTCTCCTCCCTCTCCGCACCCCCCTCCCTCATGAGCCCTTGATAATTTATAAATTGTTATTTTGTCATATCTTGCCCTGTCCGATGTGTCCCTTCACCCACTTTTCTGTTGTCCGTCCCCCAGGGAGGAGGTCACATGCAGATCCTTGTATTCGGTTCTCTCCTTCCAACTCACTCTCCCTCTACCCTCCCAGTATCGCCACTCAAACCTGAAGGGATCATCCACCCTGGATTCCCTGTGTTTCCAGTTCCTGTCTGTACCGGTGTACATCCTCTGGTCTAGCCAGACTTGCAAGGCAGAATTCGGATCATGATAGTGGGGGCGAGGAGGAAGCATTTAAGAACTAGAGGAAAGTTGTATTTTTCATCGTTGCTACATCGCACCCTGACTAGCTCGTCTCCTCCCTTTGACCCCTCTGCAAGGGGATCTCCAGCCCCATAGGATTTTATGCCCTTAATTTGTATAGCACATTGTCCAATCTCTTTGTATGATTGGTTTAAGAAATCATCCTAGCAGAACTACAAACCAGAGCTAAAAGGACATATATAAAGAGGAACCCATTGCACTGTGGGTAGAAAGTGAATAAGTAACTGGAGAACGATATGGGTAAAAGATATTTTAAAATGAGAGATTTAAGTATGTTTAAATATTGATAGGGTAAAGTTAGTAGGTAGAATATAAAATGAGAGAAGAGAAGGAGAATTCATAGGACTAATGCTCAGAGAAGGTAGCAGGGATGGGATCCAATATGAAGCTAGAGTGACTGACCTTAGTTAGAAAAACTTCATGACTTGTCTGAACCAAGAATGTATCTAGAAAGTGGAGGAATCACAATAGTAAGGTTATCAGGTAATGATTAGGCATCAATTGAGGTATCAAGCCTTACTAGTGTAGATTTTCTTCTGTAAGGTTAGACTTTCCTAGATATGTTCTGCTACAAAAAGGAACTGGC